TTCTACAGCAAAAAAAAAAGTGATATGCTCATGTTTAATCTACTGGGGAGATTTTAAATTATGCAATTAAAGATATCAAGGAAGACCATGTATAAAATATTTCATTTTACTGCATGTTGTCTTCTTGGACTTTGTGGAAATAGAGCAATGAGTTTTTGTGAATGATAGATTTGGGACAACCCTGTGTCAAGCAAGTATATCAGTGTTATTTTCCCAACAGCATGTACTAACTGCTATATATTTGATAATTCTCACAAGAGTTTAAACTCTTTTTATGATGTGCTTGCACACTTAATAGACTCCAGGATGTGTAAACATAACTTGTACATGCACCGGGGAGCTACAAAGTTCTTGTGACTCACTTTATTGCAACATTTGCTCTATTGAAGATGTTTGAAACTCCACCTTCAACGTCTCAAAAGTACACCTGTACTTCATGAGAATTAGGGTAATGCTAGAATGGACTCCTAAAATCTGCCCTAGAAGAAGTTGGGCCAGAGGCCTCCCTAGAGGCAAGGATGGCAACCCTTCATCTTACATACTTCGGACATGCAGTCAGGAGAGACCAGTCCCCGGAGAAGGACAGCATAGTTAGTAAAGTAGAAGGGCATCAATAGAGAGGACAAGCCGCCAAGAGCTGGAGTGACACCATGGCTGCGACAAAGGAAACACTGCCAGGGCTACTCAGGCTTGGACAGTGTTCCTTCTGCTTTGCATCAGGGTCAGAACGGACTAGATGGCACCGAACAACAACAGCAACAAATGGCAGCCATGACTGTTAGACTACGATGAGATTGTCCATCAATGTTTGTACTCCCCTTTCTCTATACAAAGGAGTCCTGGTGGCATGGTGGTTACACGCTGGGCCGGAATGCTCATGATCAGCAGTCAGAATCCAGCAGCCCCACCGAGGGAGAAAGACGATTTCTACTCTCAAAAACAGTTACAGTCTCAGAACGCCCCTGGGGGTCGCTGTGAGTCAGCATTGGCTGATGGCAGTGACTTTGGTTTGGTTTTCTACATACAATTCAGTTTGTCCTGGCTGTGAGGAAATACGAAGTGCAATAAAAACAGCTATCATTTACTGGGACATCTATAAGTGTTAAGCACTTCCCCATATATCTCATTTAATTTCACTCACAGAGTTCTTTGGATAAATAGTGATTACCCCCTTCTACAGATAAAGTACCCCAGGTGTGAGGAGATCGGCTAAGTTGTCCTAAGTCGGGAGTTAGTAAACAGCATTAGGAAGAAAGCCATTTGGACCTGTCACTTGAAGATGTACACTTCAGCCCCAGATGCAGACAGCATGGGCTCAACGACTTTGCTAAGGTCAAGCAATGGCATGTTCAGTATGACAAATTTAATCTTTAAGTTGGCTGTTGGGAAAATGGTGATGTCTTTTCTCTGCTATCTGTGTAAACGTCTTTTCAAAAGTTGTATAATCGTCATCTTGGAAATTCCACGGGTAATTGAAAGTAGATTCCAAAAGTGTTTGGACCTGATTCACACATTTGAAAAATCGTGCCTGTGTGTCGCTCGGTACTCCATATAAAGGTCTTCCTAATGGTCTTAGTTTCAAATGATTTAGAAGTCACTCAACTAGGCATTTTATGGCCTGAGGAATACAATCCATTAGTTGAATGTATTACAGAGAAGATATTAACAGCAATCTCTCTGCCTGCAGAAGTATTAGAGTAAATTATTCTCCCCTACACTGAGGACAGCAGACAGTATATGACGCACAAGCTAATATCTTGACTGTACATTTTAGCAGTCTCTATGGAAAAGTGAAAATTCCTTTCTAATATTACCAAATTAATGCGATAAAATCATTAATCAAAATCATTAATTTTAGTTTTATCTCAAGCTATGCCTTTCTTCGTGGGAAGCTAGTGGAGTTTCTCTTCCATCACCCAGAGAAAAATGTTCTTCACTAGAAACACTGTAAACTGGGATTGACACTTGCTATTTTCTTAGAGAAGACCCAAATCCTCACAATTGGACCAATAGGCAACATCACGATAAAGGGAGAAAAGATCAAAATGGTCAAGGAATGTGTCTTTAAAATGTTGAAAGGCAAGGAGGTTACTTTGAGGACTAAGGTGCAGCTTATCAAAGGCATGGTACAGTACTTTCTTTCTTTTTTTTGTTTTGCCAGGGCATTTTCAGTCACCTCTTACCCATGTGAAAGCTGGACACTGAACGCTGAAGAAGAATCGATGCCTTTGAGTTAGGGTGCTGGAAAAGTATATCAAAAGTACCATGGACCGCCCAAAGAACAAGCACATCTCTCTTGGAAGAATTAGATCCAGAATCCTCTCCAGAGGGAAGGATGGCAAGATCTAGTCTCCAGTCCATGGGGCATGCTGTTAGCAGAGACTGGCGGACAGCACGCTCGGGAAAGTAGAGGGGCAGCAACAAAGAGGAAGGCCCGCCACAAGGTGGAACGAAGCAGTGGCTGCCACAACAGGGTCAACTATGAGAGTAATTGTGAGGATGGTGCAGGACTGGTAATATTTCTTTCTATTGGTTGATGTTGCTATGTCGTTAGGGGCCGACTCGAGGGCACCTAAGGACAACAACATTTTCTTTCTTGCCATCTTCTTTCTCTCTCTCTATTTTACTTAGGCAGATTGAATATTGAGTGTCTGTATGTCCACAGGATTTCCCCACCCACACTGTGAGGAAGAATAAGAAAAGTAAGTGGGTGACACTTATGCATGGGACACAAGAATGGGTTTCTCGAATGCTGACCATCTGGATCAAGGCAGCTGAGGCCATTTTGAGAAGGACATGCACTATTTCCCTGGCATTAATTAGGGCTGGGGAATTTATATTGCAAAATTACACATCTAATGCAAAATGGAAGAGCGAAGAGTTGTTTTGGGGGAAGCATGAGTTTGAAGCCATTGTCGGTGAAAGCGGCTCAGGGTGCTAATCTGTGCAGTTCAGCAGTTTGCTTCTCAACCATAGGAATGCAAAGAAAAGTAACAAATAATGGGGGTTATAAACTTTACTGCTTATCTATTTAGTTTTCCTTTTTCTTCCTCTGTTGGGTAGAAAACAAGTGAAATTATGGCAGATCACTTGGAGTGATCTTTATAAATGAGAAATAATGTAAATTCAATCTGAAAAAAATACCTTACAGATCTAGTGGGAAGAAGGTAATGATGATAAGTATCTGGGTCAATTTTACAATAAATTTCCCTTATGGACATCACCCTATAATTCTTTGACCCAAATCATACTTCAATATTCATTTTCACAAGCCAAATATAGGCCTTGTAGTTCTGCTTGTATGACTTAAAAGCTCCGAGCAGTTCTTCAAGGCAAGCTTGCACTTTCTAAGAACATGAATTTGCAATTAAAATAAAGTGCATGATCAAGAAGTTTAAGATTTAAAAAAAAAGATCATATACATCAATAGTCTGGCTAATTCTTATACCTTGGGTAGAATTTCTTTGTAATAAATTTGAAACAAGCAACAGAAGTTTTCCTTGCTGAAGATGACTTGAGTCTGATATATTTTCACCAAAAGTTACTTTTACAATGTTTGTGTGGTTTTTTAAAAAAAATAATGCAGTGCTCCCTCTTTGGGTATAATTTGGACATATTTATGATACAATTTGGATATCTACTGACAACTCAAAACCACAGCCAAAGTCCATTTAACAGCTGCCTTAAAACAGCTACTGTTAATAATGACTAGGCATGGCCAGTTGGGTGGAATTGGATTCTGTGACTAGAAGTTAAAAAGATGTTACTCCTCATTAGAAATCTCTGTGTGTAAATGCCTTACAGTCTTTGTGTGGAAATCAGCTTCGATTTTACTTTAGTCATTCAGGAAGCAGCTGAGTCAGCAGCTTGCAGAATAAAATTTATGATTATATAATTCCTTCATAGAGTCAGCAGTGGGGAAAAAAAATAAAGCTTTTGGAAACAATCAGAACTGAAAGAAAGAGGGGTGTCTGAAATAGCCGAGGCAGAGTCAAACCCACCGCAGTTCCATTGTGATAGTCAGAATACATACAGCAACACACTTCCTGCCGAATACCCATGATCACTTGACCTTCACAAGTCCGACTTTCCAACAGCGAATGCAGTTTTCGCAGACTACGCTTTTGACCTTGGGGATATAGCTTGGTGTTTTATGTCTCTGAAAAACTCATAGTGCCTTTGATCACCTCCCCACCCCACACCCCATACCTAACAGAATTCATGTAAATTGAACAGCAGCACACATTTAAATGATTAAATTATATAATTCTTCTCTTTTAAGTATTCAGCATGCTAGAGTAAGGAGGGAAACTGCAGCCCCTTTAGAATGCCCCCTTCTTATTGCATAAGTCTCTGTGCTGTTTTAGTGCAAAATGTCCCCCAACTGAAGCCAGGGCTGAAGGAACAGCTGCATTGTACTGCAGCCTCAAGGCCCGCTACAGTCTTCTGGCTTGGATTCGGCTGAGCAGGGCAGAAATATACAGGAGCAGCATCCTGGACTATGGGGACTACAGCTGGACTGAAGGAGGCAGTAAAGGGGGTAAGCAACTTTTTCCTGAACGATGCTTTGTTTGACTTTTATTTTACTTATATTGTTTCTCATAAATAATTAAACCTGCCCTCTGATGGAATGACCTTACATCATAAATCTTGCTTCCTTTTTCTCCTCTTCTCCAAATGTATTTAAGTAAACTTTCTGTACTCCATTCCACTTGGAAGGTAGAAACTTATCAAAAAAGCCTTGAACAATCACATCAACTGAGTGCAGTTGGACAGTCTTAAGTCATGCAACTTTCATTGTCCCTAATCCTCAACTGTACTGTAATGTAATAGCCTTCCAAAGCCCAGAAGGAGAGAGCAGGTTCAAAGGAAAAAGTCAATGCAGCAAAACTCAAATTAAGAAGCACCCTACCCCTGCCTTGTCCCCGCCCCACCCCCCCATCTCAACTTGAAGCAACTTGAAATTAATGTGGCTTTCATAAGAGTGTGTGCTTTCTTACCTTGGATGTGAATCACTCTGTCATGATTCTGAGTGTAGTTGTCCAAACCATGGTCAGCCCAGCACAGCGAGATCAGCACCAGAAGAAGGAGGCTCTTCATCTTTCTCGCCCAGAGAATCTTCCTCACTGCCAGGGCATCACAGAAAGAGAGGCTGGTGAGGCTTGGAACCCTTGGAGTGTGGCACAGCACGGCTCATTGTCGCCTTGTCCTCAGCACAGAATGGGTCAGTGGAACTGTTTAATCCCATCTGCCCAGAAAGTTATTGAAGCTGCCTTTCAGAGCTGAAGACTGCAGCTTTGAAGAATTCCAGCTCCCTCCCTTTAGGAAGTAGACGTAGCCAGAGGACAAATAGTGTTTAACTCTCTCTTTGCAGAATTGTAAATGTAGAAATTTGAAACACTCGAGTTTGGAGATAGAACATATTACAAAGAGATGTGGGATGGAATAAAATGGACATTAAAAAAATAAAGTTCAATCTTCTGGCTGCATATAGAATATAAATGAATAAAACAACCATTTGATATGCCAATAGATGAACATTTATCACCCAGTCTAATTAGAAACTGAATCTCAAACCGAAGCAAATGGAGAATATTTGCCTGAAACTCGACATCATCATTCATTTTATTTGTGACTTCTTAAGCAGGTTAGACTTGCTTTTTCTAAATAGGAAAGAGGGCAAATTAAAAAGAAAAAAAAGACCTGATTAAGCAGAAGCCTCACATTGGTTGTAAATTCACTTACCATCTTAAACACTGCTTGAGTCTGCATGGATAAGTGAAAATGATGCACAGAGTAGGTTAGAGTTGGGCATGCTAGCTACCACTGCAGTTGCCCTGATTGATTTCTCATTCATTTCTACCTGAAATGCTGATGCACCAATCTGGCAGGGAGGGTCTCCACATCAGCAGAGCCGAGGCTGCAGGGAATGTCCCCACAGCCTGGCAGGTCAATTAAGGAAATAAAAAGCTGAGACAGGCACACAGGCTGTCTTGGTTATAATTGAAAGATCCCAAGCCATCACTAACTCTGGGAACATATTCCCCCCAAAGTTTGTCACTGAAAGATCCAGGTCTGGATCAAAAAAATATGATTGCAAGTGGTACAAACCTTATGACCTTTGTAGTATTTGCCAGGCAATAGCTTCAATGTAGCTCCTCTGTTTCAACGTGGAAGAGGAGGCACAACAAGGGCTTTCTTTTTCTCCCATGCACACAGCAGCCTGCACAATACGTGGCTATTTTTAAAACTGAAATTGCACAGTACTGGCTCTTCGCACTAATTTGTTTTTTCCAGGAAAGCCTGAATCCCAGGAATACTTATTAAAAAGTTCTCCGTTTGTTCTTGAAGGTCCTTCCAGGGAACCTCCACTCACTCCAGAGCCTGATGCAGGTGCTCCCTGAAGTTGCCCGAGTCTCCTGGGAGCAGAACATCTCTCTGCATTTTCCTCTAGAAAACCCTGCATTGCTGCCAGGCTCCAGGCTCTCAGGCTTGCTTCCAGCGATGCCATAGGAGATGAGGGGCTGCTGGGCAAATTGAGGGATTTATATTCTCAAGAAATCAAGAGTACCACCTACAAAATGCTGCCTGCTTTACTTAGTCTTATTTTTCAGAAGCTCACTTGTGTATTCCTCTGAGAATTTGGGGGGTGGGGTGGGAAATGAGGGATTTTAATTTTTTAGTAGCAACTGATTTGGCTACGTAGGTTCTCACTGCCATCAGGTCTGTTCTGGCGCATAGTGACAACGCAGGACAGAGACCCTGTGGGCTTCTGAGGCTCTCCAGCTCTCGGGGTTGGGGGGGGAGTGTGTGCAAGTGGTTCACATGATTGGTCTTTCGGTTAGTAGCCTCATGCATACTCCACGAGCCACAGACAGTAGAACGCATGTGTCTTCGTGTTACTGAATAAACTCTTTCCATGTTGAAGATCACACCGCTCATAAGTGGTAAACTTTGGATTTGATAACCAAGCAAAAGCAATACCTAATTTGAGTTGCACTCAGGTTTCTGAATGAAAAAGTTAGCCCATTCATTGTTACGTACTTCACAACTGAGAATCTTTAACTTAAACATCCATTGAAATGAAGCCTTTTCTCATGCTACAGAGAAGCACACAGTTTTTGTTTGTGTTAGGAATACAATGATTACATAGGAGCAATTGGTCAGTTTGCATTTTTCTTTTTAGCATGATTGGATGTACCTCCTATCAGAACTCTGACGTCAAGTTGATTCCGACTCATAGCAACCCTACAGAACAGAGTTGAAATGCCCCTGCTTGTTTCCAAAATTAAACCTTCACAGGAGTAAAAAGCATCATTTTACTCCCACAGAGAGGTTTCAGACTGCTGACGTTGTGGTGATTACCCACAACTCCACCAGGGTTCGAATTGTGCCTACCAAAACCCACACCAAAGTCATTGACATGGAGTCCCTGACAGCTCATCCTGACACTACAGGGCAGGGTGGAACTGCCAATGTGGATTTCCAAGATATACATCTCCATGGGAATAGAGCTCATCAGAGGGGCTGATGGTTTCAAAATGCTGACCTTGGGGCTAGTAGCTCAAAGTTTTGATGCTGGTCAGAGGTCCAATTCCTCTGAATTGGACCGCCTACTCCTTCTTCATCTATTCCTTATTCTGTTCCTAGTCTCCAGCTCTGCAGAATCCACCTCACTTTGGGTGACCCTGCTGGTATGTGAACTACCCCTCACATAGCTTTTAGCATCACAGTAACTCACAAGCCACCATAGTATGTGCCAAGCTGAGACGAGTGGTGCCATGACCTGCCTAGATCATGCTCATGTGAAGGAACATGTATGAGTGTACACACACACACACACACACACACACGTCAACTTTAAGTTAGAAAGGCCAAGGGTAGCAGCATCTTCAGGGATTTGTGATGAGGAGGGAGGCCCCCAGCACTGAACACCCACTGATGCACTTTAGGTAGGAGTGAGTGGCTCTTACCATGGCGGCCCTGGCAGCTTACAGCTTTCTCACCAACACACAGAGGGCAGAAAAGTGATGTTTTCAAAACACAATCTGCAGGCATTTGAATGAACCATGAGGACCATGTAAGATTCTGCACACCAGACTGACCAGACCATGGGGGGCGGGGGGGGGGGGTGTCAGTGCCATCACCAGAGAAGAACGCCTCTGATAAGTAGCAAGTGGTTCACCAATGTGTACTGAGTGGGAAATCTGAGTCCTAGTTCTTTTTATGTGTAATGGTGTCTAGGTATGTTAGTAAACACATCTAATTTTTTATATGAATAATATTTCAGGAAAAACATTAATACTAAAGTCCCATTCGTGAAGTGTTTGGCGGCAAACCCAGAAATCAGTGATTTGAACCCACCAGCCACTCCGACAGAGAAAGATTTAACAATCTACTTCCACAAAGAAAGTTCTACCCTGTTCTTTAGGGTTGCAAAGAATTGAATCAAGTTGACAGCAGTGTTATGTTTGTTGTTTTTTTGTGGGGGTGAGGGTGGGTGGTATTATACAATAGGCTCTTGCCAGTCCTTAAATAGTATTCTTCTTTCATTTACATCTCACACATTGGTGTTTCCCCCGCTCCCCTACAATCTACCCCGTCTTTCTGCCATAATGCTTTAGCCATCTTCAAGACAAGCCCAACTTGAAATGTCAGTTTGTAACCAAAGACTTATTATCTCAACGTATTTCCATTGAGTTGATTTCACCTGATGGTGACTCTGTAGGTTAGGGTATAGCTGCTCTGTGGGTTTCCCAGAAGAACTCTTTACAAGAGTAGAAGCATGTTTCCTGTGGAGTGGCTGGGGGTGTCAAGCTTCCAACCTTGCAGTTAGCAGCCGAATGCATAATCATCACACCACCAATAAATATGCAGGAATGCAATTTTACAACTTTCCCTTGGACCGCTCTTTGGAAGCAAGATACTTTCTAATGTAAAAGTGTAATAAAAAATGCAAATATGTTCACACCAGCAGTCTGATACCCAGTAAGAGTCGGAGGTGGTAGGAAAAATTAGCTCAGCTGATCAGCTAAATGTTGGTAGTTCAAAGTCACTCAAAGAGACTTTGGAGGAAAGGCCTGGAAATCTACTTTAAAACCTCTCACTGAACCCCTCAAGGCATACAATTCCACTTGAATACACATGAGATTGCTGCGAGATGGAATCCGCTCCACAGTCACTGCTATTTTTATTTTTAATACCAAGCTAGCTAATCACTATTCCTTGAACGTTTATTATTGTTTTGGCTAAGGAGGCCTAAAACTAATTGGAAGATATATATGCTATTTTCAACACCTTGAAAATGCATACACATGTCATGAACAATTCTGATGCTAGCTTCTGTCTTCTGATTCTCAGAACAGCTCAGTTGAGTTAGTTAGATATGTTAGGGTTTAGAAAACAGAATCTTCATGTGGTGAACTAATCTCCCAAGGGTACACAGTTTGCAAAGCCAGGAAGGGGGTCTGGGCAGGATGGCCCCGAGCCTGATTTCTCAACACCATTATCTGGGTCCTGTGTATGCAGAGACTTGCCAACCATTCTCTCCTTGCCAGCTCTCACAACTCTTCAAGGTTTCTGCCAACTGGAATGCCTCCCCTGACCCATGCCATGCTGGGTTATGGGCATGATATTATCCCACAGCCATTGACACACGCGATCTTTGAGGCCCAGGCCCGGATGACTTCCCCTCTGCAGGCCCATCTTCCACCACTGAACTTGAGTGCTGACTGGAAGAATGAACAGGCGGGCAATTGCACCTTGCAGAAATAGGTGAACACACTGTAGCAACCAAGACTGGGGGGAGTTTAGCATGATTTTAAAGTGTAAATGTGTATTTATATGAAGGATGATGAAAAGTTACTTTTATCTTTCATTGCAGACATAATTACATGTATCAGGCTTGATATAGAACTTGAAATTTGAGAAAAATTTGAGAAAAATTACAAGAATCGATATGAAGTTCCTAGAAGTCAAATGAGCAAAGAAACCATACCCTTGTTTAACAGAATCATTTAAAAATCGATGGGATCTTCTACTCCCTGAGATCATATAAGTGTGATCTAATAAAAGGCAGGAGAGAGTCAATGATGGTGATGCATGGATAATAATAATAACATACACA